TAGAGGGACTGTGAGTCAAATGACGAGAAAACTGAACAAGAAACCACCCTTTTTTGCACTAGTGGCTATGGACACTGATCACTGACGTCACTAGGAGTATTTTTGTATGCAAACAAGGTGCTAATAAATATATATATAACTTTATTCGTATTTAGGCCTCTGGCCCATGTACGCAAATAATAATAAATCATTACATTTCTGTCATAGGTTTGAAAATAAAGTATAAAAGTCTTAAATTACATTTTCTCTTTAATTTTAAATACATGAAAACAAAATAAAGCAACACTTTCATTATCAGTCGTGTTGTCTGATGCCATTATCTTGTGAAAATCCTGCAAGGTGTTTGCTGCATGGTCCTGGAGAGACTGGGGGAGAAATGTTTGCCTGAATGTGTTGAGTTTTGGGCATTTTAGAAGAAAATGTAACTTGTCTTCAATTTCAGACAAACATAGATCGCAAATTCTATACTCTCTGGCGATTCCTCTGTGTCTACCAACTTCTATAGCTAGGGGGTGATCTGAAAACCTTAAACGGACATATGCTCTACGAAGTTTTGTGTTGACTGAAAGCTTTAAGTACATTTCTCTGCCAAGTTAGGGCTAATCTGCACTGGCTCGGAAGGTTGTAAATGATTAGCTAGTTTGAATTTGCATAACAATACTGACAATGAACGTGCATTCAACGCCACAAGTTTTTTTGTTTTTTTAGCCAATCAGAATTCATCTTCCGAGCCAGTGCAGATCAGCCGCCAAGTTAAAGTTAAATTGTCGATAATGATCTGTTTTCTTCGCCGTACATATATCAGAGTACCAAATTCTTTTGCCTTCATTTTGCGCACGGCTTTTGAACTAAAGTAGAAAATTTTCACTGTTTTCAACGCCTTGATTTTCCCAGACTGTGCCAAAACCTAAATTGTCTAATAGGAGCAATATTTCAGTAGCCCAAGTGCGTTTGCCTTGATTGTGCATATTTAAAAGCATTTTATAAGCTTTATTTGGCAGACGCTCATTCCCTAATCTGGTAACCCTAAGCCAGTATTTAATGCAGCGTGTTGAGTAATAGCAAAATAATGGAAGTCGTCCACAGTCTCCCAAAACCATACTTGTTGCTAATGACGACAAGGTGCTAATGACGACAAGGTGCTAATGACGACTATCGATGAGCCTCATTTTGAGGTACTCTAAAATGACATTGGCGTGGACTTTAAAACCATTTATTTTGATTAAAAATATTAATTTTGTTCTGAAACACATAAACCTTAATAATAATCAATCACCAATAATTGATGTTGGACAAGAAAATAGCATCGGCACTTTAAAGCGGCAAATGTCTGTGATTTTGAACATTTTTTTGTTTGTTCACATAGAACCATCATGTAATTCCTGAGGTTCGCCTGACAAAATCAAATTTTTAATAGATGGCACCCTCTGAAGACCTAGAATCAACCAATGCAATGCAATGCTATGCTTCCAGTGTCTACATTTAGACAATAGCTGTTACAGATTGGCACTGATGACACAGAAAATGTCTTATATAACAATAAGAGTTGTAGAAAATCGATCGATAGTTACAGCTATTGCCACTTTAAACATAATAGCCATGTATAAAAAGATTACATCATTGATGTTACTAGGATGTGTATGCCCTTTTCATATTCTAATTATTCTGTAATTTTAACTTAGCATTTTGTAATACTGTAAAATGACTAATTTTCCCTGGGTTTAAATTTCACTGATTTACCATTTCAGGCATATTCAGTGGGTTTTAAATTCACGGTTTCGTCATTTAAATAATGTGTTCTATGCTAAATTTTACATATTCACTGTGTTTTAATTTAGCGCATTTTTCCAGTCAGCGAAATAAGCTAAATTAAAACCCAGTGAATAATTACCCCCTTTACAG